TGTGCATAAGACTAGAGAAAAAGTTCAGGAAAAACATGAATTTTGGAGGTGCATATTATATTCTAAAGACCTTCATTTGAGTAGATTTAAAACTGAATATATCGAATGTAATTTTAATAGTGATAGATCTAGCGACAGAGTTGTAACAATGGGCAATCAAATTATTAAAAGGTGATACATTGGGTTTATTGTTCGAAGTGGTGATTGATACCATAACTGGTAGGGAAAGCAATGAAAAACTCATAACAAACTTTTATTAAAGTTGAGAGAAGGTTACAACACAACACAACAAAAAATAGCAACACAAAATATAAACGACCCAAGCAAACACCTCTAAAGTGTATTTCAAAAGCGATGGAGGTCGGTTAGGTGGATTGGGATGGTTGGCAGGGGCGGTGGCAGCAAAGGAATGCTGATGGCGGCGAGAGAGGAAGTTGCAAAATTGCAGGGGACAGCAAGTATGGATGGACGTAGTGGTCGGCGAGACGCGGAGGGGTGGCTGGAAGGTGTTGGACAAGAAGGGCAGCGGTAATGGGGTGAGGAGTAGTCAGTTGGGAGTGTTGGGAAGGAGAGAGGATGATAAGACAACAAAATAAGTTACAGGTATTAGGCGGTCGGGTGTAGGAATGAAGGAAGAGGAGACCGGCGGCTGAGGAGAGGGAAGGAGAAGGATTGGGGAAGGTGAAAGGGAAAGGATACAACATCACCTCGAAGTAAAATATAGCGGAGCACCACCACCTCCTCAGATACAACCCTAGAACAGGGAGAAAAGCTCCACAAAAAAATTTGAAATCAATACACGGCAAAAACTAATCCTAATGCAATAAAGCAACAATATAAAGACTCCCAAGGAAAACATGGAAAAGGAAGGCTAGAAAGAGGATCGGTTGCAGTGTTGCCTTGCCTAAAGTGCTGCTCGATCGAGTGGGACAGAAAAGGAAAGAACACCAAGGCTAGGAAGCACTACTGCCTCGTATTATGTTCGCTCAATGTGTAAGATGTTCGCTTGGACTACTCGGTTAAGAAATTCCTAGAGCCGGTCCTCAACAGAGCAGGTCAGACCAGTCCCCTACTCCCACCCGCGCTGGAGTATCTCCGCACCCATGTTAGTGATATAGATGGGGATGTTACGAGTAGAATTCAAGTTGAATGGTTGAAGAGGAGGAAGGCATGGGGCCTACAGTGTGAAAGAAAGGTACCGCTTAGACTTAAAGTAAATTTTGAAAAGATGGTGGTGAAAACTACAATGCTTTATGGCACAGAATGTTGGCCTTTACAAAGAAGCATAAATCTAAGTTAAGTGTTGCTGAGATGAGAATATTTAGGTTGACAAGTGGTTTGACACTTAGAGACAAAATGCGAAATGAATGTATCCGTGAAAAGGTTGGTGAAGCTTCGGTTGTTGACAATATTAGAGAGAGTCGTTTAGATTTTTTTGGTCACATTAAACGTTGACCATGTGAAGATCCAGTTAGGAGAGTAGATGCTTTAGATTTGATTTATGTTAAGAAAAACAGAGGTATACCCAAAAAGACTTGGGCATGTTGTATAAAAAATAATCTTTATTTATTAGAATTAAATAAAAATGTGACACTCAATAGGACACATTGGAGAAAAATGATTCATATAGTCGATCCCACTTAATGGGATAAAGGCTTGTTGTTGTTATAGATCAAAAAGATTTGACGTCCCTAAGAAAATAATTTTACATTTTAATTACACAAACCCATGAACTCAAACATAAGAAACTATTTCATCCTCGACTATGTACAAAGAAGCAATAAGATATGCTTTGTTTCCTACCCTATTTGTAATACTTGGTTATTTTACCAAAAATGCAAAATATTTAAGGCCAATGCTAAATTGAAGAAAGAGTCATAAGGCATGCACTTCTTGAAGTAGATTTCCTTGAATAAAGAGTTAGAAGGCCAATGTATGATTTCAACTGTTAAATACCAACTTGTCCGTTATGAGATAGTAATATAGGACTTATGAAGCATAGATTCTAATTATCTTTAAACATGTTTGATACACTAGAGCTAAGCTTGGTTTAGTTCATCATTTAACTACTATGCAACAACATAAGGTTCAACAAAAAAGACCATTTTTTTCGTCTATAGAACATCTGCACAGTTTTTCCTACAATTTATTTCAGAAAGTTACTTTCACAATAGAAAACACTAACAAAGGCCAAATACATAGATTCCATCAAGTTGTGGCATTAAAAATAAATAAGTAGAAACCAATTAATTGAGATCTCAGCCACACCAAAATTGTAGGCATGCACAACTTTTGTAGTTATCCAAGAGTCCTAAGCTGCCCGAAAAGATGGGAATCATGTAACCAATAATATATTTTAGTATATTAAGATAAAAGGCTAAAGGGCCATGCTACTCATTTAACTCATAGCATGGCTCGATAAAGACTCCTATGTCCCTAGCTAAATAGATATTTCCTTGGCAACTAGAGTTAGACTATAAGCTTGTTTATAATTAGAAATTATTTCACAACTCACTGCAAATCTCTAACAATGCTGATCAATTTTCATAGTTCGCCGACAATGACCAACACAGCCCTCAGCAACAACAAAACAAACAAACGGATCTGGCAATCAGAACCACAGTTTCCACCACCATCCAATTATAGAAGACCACTACCGATGAAGACTGCCATTGGAAGCAGGAAGCAACCACCAACAACCATAGACTAGTGTTACCTTTGGTAAGTACTAAGGGTAGCAAGGGGTGTGCATTGTTTGGTCAAAACCAAAAAACCAAACCGAACCGAACCGATCAAATTTGGTTGATTCGGTTCAATTTCAAAAATGAATTTCAATTTTTGTTTTTTAAAACATTAATATTTGGATTTCGATTTTCGGTTCGGTATAAATTTTCATTCAACCAAACAAACCGAAAAACGGAAAATTTATTAAAAATTTTTATTATATTTTAACTTCATATCAAAAAAATTAAGGAAATAAAAAAATTTATTATATTTAACATTTGATTGAAATAAATAGAGGATTCGTGATATTAAATTAATATTATGTAGATAAATTATAAATTTTGTAATTTTCGTTCTTAGCCAAACTTCAATAAACAATTATATTTTGGTTTGCACATAACCGAACCTTTTAAACCAAATTAAATTTCGATTCGGTTTTATCAAAAAATTTAGATTGGTTCAATTTTTCTGGATTCTAGATTTTGGTTGCAGTCGGTTTGATCAATTTTAAGATTGATCCATCCAAACCAACTGAATGCTCCCCCTTAAGGGTAGCAGCAACCACCACTGTTCATCATTAATAAGTGGCATAACTACAAATGATAACAACAATTGCACATCATAGTATTTCGCACATGTTTAAAGTTTGTGTTCAAGTAGCCTGTAAGTTTCTTATCTCAAAGAGATAGAAGGTATTATATGACAAGGACTAAACCAGCCAAAATGGACTACCTTGCAATGTCAAACAAATCGCAACCACCACTGTTCATCATTAATAAGTGGCATAACTACAAATGATAACAACAATTGCACATCATAGTATTTCGCACATGTTTAAAGTTTGTGTTCAAGTAGCCTGTAAGTTTCTTATCTCAAAGAGATAGAAGGTATTATATGACAAGGACTAAACCAGCCAAAATGGACTACCTTGCAAAGTCATTTTGCAATCAAGCTAACCCAAACCCATTATGGTCATTTAAAGGTACTTAATGAGTTTAAAAGGAGCATCTAAAAATCTATCCTATAATAAATAAACATATCACTTGCAACCATAAATAAAATTTAGCTTTAATTGAAAAAAATATCAAATTGGTCCTCTGGCTCTTTGCGGAGAGTCATTTTAGCCTTGGAATCCATAAAAATAATAATTTAGTCCCAAGATTTTTTAAAATTGGGTTAAAATTGTCCCTATGGAAGACTAATTAGCCCCAATTAAGAGAATCTAGGAACTAATCTGACATTTTTATAAAATATGGAACTAAAATGACCCATGTAAATAATCAAGAGACTATTTTGATACTTTAATCATTTTAATTCATAGGAGAAGTTGTTATTCAGTTTAAAAAGAAGAATAGAGAAATGAGGCGATTTCTTTTAGCAAACCTCAAAACAAAAAAAAAAAATCATAAAATTTAAAAAATAAAATAAAATAAAATAAATTATTGATATATTGATTTAGTTTATTATCTTAAAAATATAAACTACAGATCTTAACCTTAGAATGTTGACATAAAATGAACTAATACTCAAACTTAGAACTTTAATTATACTACAAGGATCAAGATCCATATAGATCGCATCATTATTTTCATCATCTTCAAAAGAATCATCATACATAATAATTTAATAATTATTTAATTCTGTCTCACTGACATCTTCCAAATCTTCCTCAATTACTACAATATTCTTCTCACTCTCCATATAAATTAACTTTAAATTCAATATAGTTTTAAATAAAATAATGAATTAATAACACAATTAAATAATCATACTTATATTGCCTTTTGAGTTTTTCGATGCATTGTATCTCATACACTAGGTATAACTATAATTTAATATAATAAATTTTCTTTTTGCACAACTTGACTAAGGCCCCAGCTCAAACCCCATGATGCTTTAAGCCTCAAGATGTTCTTTGTTCGCCTCAGTTCATGGTGTGCATTTCAAATGCCATATTAAATAAAGGTTTAAAATTAACAACCTCAATAATTCCTGTAACATTTATGGGTGAAAAGGATGCTTGAGTCTCTCTCAACAAATATTAGTCTCTAACAAAGGTTAGTGCTAATCCAAGCGATAGAAGTACTACCTGAGAACAAAATGTTTGTCTGTATATGTATTTTCTATTTTATGTTCTAATGCCAACATATGATGCTCCTCTGCTTCAAGTTTTGACAATTTCCCCTCTCAACATTAATTCCAAAATAACCAAAACATAGACCTGCTGGATATCAAACCACAAAGTCGTGCAAATTATCAAGCAAACAACATAATACCTGTAGAAGGTGGTAGCACGCCTTTCCAGAAGAGCAAATAGAACAATGAACAATGTGTTTCTGAATCCGATAAAGAATGTTAGATTTTTAGGGGAAAAATAATGAAGCATCATGGTCAAAGAATAAATATGGTGCAAAGAAAACCATAGTTAAGCCATGGGTCATAAAATTTTGAGATTCAATGAACAAGAAATGAAATTCTAAAGAAATTAAGAACATTGATAGGAAAATAAAAAATAGATGAATAGTGGTAAGAAGATCTAACTACATGCAAACCAGCTGAAAAAAAATATTCAATGCAAGCCTACGTCTTCAATTCCTGAAGTAAGCTTTGAGACATAAACCAATTCATCATCTGAGTGCCGAGAAGATATACAAATTCACCAACTGAGTGCCTAGAAAATATATATATATATATATATATATATATATAACACGAATATGAAGATAAACTACATCCGTGATTTCATTACCAATGTTAAAGACAGTATAACAGAAACCATACCATTGTCACCAGATCCAACCTAAATAACAAATTTAGGTTTCACGTTCTGCATAAGGATATTAAAATGAGATAATAATCATATTTAGATAAATATAACAATAGAAAAGTGAAAGGGTCGATTATAAAATTAAAACATGGTGTAAAAAGCTACTGAAATTAAAAATATGTAGCTCTGTAACAAAATATATAACGGAAGATTTGATGTTTTAAAATGAATAAATGTTTTATAAGATGAATCTTGCATTACAATCGTAAAACTAGCCGAAGAAAAATTATAGGAATAACCTCATAATATAATATTTACTGTCTTTGAATTAACTGATGGCAAGATAACATATAAGGTGTTAGGCCAACATATACAAAACTATTATTTCTTGATGAAATAAATATAGATTACTGAAGTGCTATTCAAGCTTCCCTCTCAAAAATAGTTCATTGGAATCAATACATCACCAATGCGAGAACAAGACAGGTAAAATAACGAATACTCGATAGCATACCTTTTGGTCAAATTGAGTCTCTGAGTCTCCTTTAATGACCAATGATAGTCGCATCCAAAGCTCAGCATTCTTAAAACGACTGCGACAAAAAAAAAAGCATAAAACAAAAAAACTAAGGAAATTTACATTCTGCCACAGCAAACTAAATAACTTTGCATTTCTAAAATATGAACATCTACTATTGAAAGGTTTGGCTGATGCACATGACGAGCCACTAACATAGGACAAGAACCAATCATTGAAAACTGCCAGACAGAAATCAAGTAACCTCAACAACAGTGGTTCATGTATCATTAACTTTTTTTCTTCAATGATCAGTATTGTAGGAAATCATTCCTCATTTTTTACTCAAACAATATAGTTTTACCCATAATACATGTATTGTGCACTCAAGCTGACTCATTCCTTATCTATAACTACAATTTGGGTAAAGCTCCAGAATGCTTTAATTATCCAACTAAATTTTGCTCTGCTACACTTGGAAAAGAATTCTTTTCGTATGATACCAAAACATCATTGATGTATATCAAATGCCATTAATTTCTTACATCCAAACATTTCCTTCTAAGAGTAATATTATAAAATCTTCCCTAAATTATTTATTAAGAAAAGGCAGCTTGTCATACTTGTTCCGATTCACCTAATTCTTAGTTGCACAATGTAAGATTGACTACCAACAACAACAAGCCTTTATCCCACTAAGTGGGGCCAATTGTATGAATTATTTTTCTCCATTTTGTCCTATTGAGTGTCATACTTTTATTTAATTCTAGGGGTTTTTACATATCAACCACCAAAAACTTTAAATATAACGAATTGACCACCCAAACTTAAAAATTTTACAATAGAACCACCCAAAGAACCACCTAACCCTTTAAATATAATTGATTGACCACTTCTCTTTCAAAATAAAATAAAATATTGGGTGGTTGAAATATATATTTTGAGTTTAAGTGGCCAAAATGTTATATTTAAAGTTTTGGGCGGTTGTTATGTAAAGCCTCTTAGCTCTAACAAATTAAGAGCATTTTTCTATACAATATGCTCAAATATTTTAAGGTCTACCTCTACTTTTCTTAACATAAGTCGAATCTAAAACATCTACTCTCCCAATCGGATCATCAAATGGCCGACATTTAATATGACCAAACCATCTAAGATGACCCTCCCCAATCTTGTCTGTCACCGAAGCTACACCAACCTTTTCACGAAAACATTTGTTTCGCATTTTGTCAATAATTGCCTGGCCGCTCATCCACCTAAGCATTCTCACCTCAGCGACACTTAACTTTGTTTTATGCTTCTCTTTTATAGGCCAACATTCTGTGTCATAAAGCATTGCAGGTCTCACCACCATCTACAAAAATTTTCTTTTAAGTCTAAGTAGTACTTCGCTATCAAACAATAGGTCTGACGCATCCTTCAACTTCAACCATCCAACCTGAATTCTACTAATAACAACATTTATATCAAAATCACTTCAAAAACGTTCACTCATTTTAATGATTTGATCACTCATTATTATAACTCTGGCACTAGATCTATTGATGTTAAAATTACATTCCATGCCTTCAGTTTTAGATCTACTCAAACAAAAGCATTTAGACTCGAATTTAGACCTCCATTATTCAAGTTTTTCCCGAACATTTTCTCTAGTATTATTCAAAAGAATGATATCATCAGTGAAAAACATACACCAAGGTACTTCCTCCTGTAAATATCCAATAAAAGCATCCATAACTAAAGCAAAAAGATATGGACTTAAAGCCGATCCCTTATGTAATCCAACTAAAACAGGAAAATACTTAATCAATCCTCCTTCTGTATGAACACAAGTAATAGCTCTAGTAAAAATATCTTTAATGACTTGAATAAAAGTCAAATCAAAACTTTTTTTCCTAAAACTCTCTAACAAACTTCGCTTGGAAATTTATCATAAGCTTTTTTTTAATCGATAAAAATTATATGTAGATCCTCATTACTCTCTTCGTAGTTCTCTATCAAACCTCTCAAATAAATGTATAGCATCCATAGTAAACTTGCCCAACATAAATTCAAATGGATTAAGAAAAATCTTTGTATCACGTCTTAACCTATGTTCAATAACACTCTCCATAATTATAATATGAAACATTGATTCCTCTATAATTTGCACAACCTTATGCATTCCCTTTATTCTTAAAAAGGGTGACCAAAATACTCTTCCTCCACTCCTCAGGCATCTTTTCAATTTTAAAACAATATTAAAAATTTTAGTAAGCCAAAAAGTCTCAAATCTTTTAAATATTTACACACTTCTATTGGGATATCATCTGGTCCTACTGATTTTCCATCATTGGTATTCTTTAAATCCAACTAAAATTCATTTTTACTAATGCGTCAATAAAATTAAAAAGTACTATTATTATTAATGATATTAAAATCACTCTGATCAATCGTATTTTCAGAAACTTCATTGAAAAGTTTATCAAAATATCTCATCCACATATATTACATATCTTCCTCTAAATAAAATAATTTTTTATTTTCATCTTAATACACCTTACTTGGATTAAATCTTTAATTTTTTTTTATCTTTGTTTGGCTAGTTTATACATATATCTTTCAAGATCTTTAATATCTAATCTACTATAAAAATTACTAAAATTAAAATTTTTAACACCGCAAATAATTCTCTTAAACTCCCTACAGTCACCTTATATTTTTCTCAGTTCTCTAAGTTTTTATATTTAAACTAATTTTTTATAACAAAACTTCATATATATTATTTCTTCCTATACATTATTATTTCATTAACAACTATTTTTATTTATAAAAACTTTTTACTTTTGATTCTCCAAGGGCATCTTTTGTCACTTGGTTAATGGTGCTGTTACTTTATTCCACTTAGAATTAGCTTCTTCGTGAACTTCTTAAATCTTGAAATTATTTAAGTTTACTTATAAAAATAATTTTATTGTCTTTTTGGTACTCCCATATAATTTTATGACAATGTTTCATTTTTTTATCTTTAAACTCATGATCTTAAAATCCAAAATTAACAATCGATGCTGATTACTTAAAGTTTCAATTAAAATAAACTTAAAATCATTAGAATCTCGACGATCTTTTCTCATAAGAAAATAATTAGATCATGTTTATTATATTCATTATAAAAAGTAATAATATATGCATCTCTTTTCTTAAATAAAGTATTAACAATAACAAAAAGTTAAAGCAAAATATAATACGATTCTACATTTTTCATTAATCACCCTAAAATTGTAGTCACTATGAATATTTCTAAAATTTTATATCACTCTACCAACAAGTTCATTTAGATTTCTTCTAATAAAAATTCTTTCTTTAAGAGGTATGATTTATATTAATCATAATAAGTTATTCCAATTTTTTTCTTTTGAACCTTTATCTGAACCAACTTAAGAAGCATAAGAACTTACAGCATTAAAAATATTAGTATTAACAACAATTTTAGAGCTATAACTCTATCTTCAATTCTATTAATTTACAATATTATTTTTCAAACTCTTATCTATAATTATACCTACACTATATCTAGTGCAACTCATACCTGAATACCAAAGTTTAAAACCTAAGATATCAATCTACTTAGTCTTTTCTCCAACCAATTTAGTTTCTTGAATGCATAAGATATTATGATTATATGAACCATAATCCATTAATTTCATTAATTTACATGTAATGATACCTATATTCCAAGAATCATTTCCTAAAATTAGTTTCATTGACTATATTTGGTGCCCGTGTTATCAATATTGTCGGAACATTTGTTTATTTCACATTAAATGTGTGAGATGGGTGTAGCGACCTCTACACATTTTTCACTGTATTCAGATCATACAGTATAACGCTTCCAAGTGACGTCCTAGCATTTACAAAATGACTTAAAAGATTCATATTATGATTCTTTTGACAAAAAAATTACGTTAATTGACGATTACCTAACGCCAATTTTTGTATCCAGGGCTTGGGGTTCGGCAATGGCAATGTCAGATTGATTACCAACCCTTTAAAATACAAATTTAAATAATTTAAATCATTTATGATCATCCACGGATGATGAACTTGGCACCTTAGTTTAGAAGACCAGCCAGAAATGTTTGCCAAGGTTAGCATATCATTTGTAAAGTTTTCATTTTCAAGGAAAAAATTTCTTGTATGTAGGACCAAAGGTATAAATTCCTCTTGAAAACACATGTATGTTTCCAACACATCCTCAATCAGCATCCCCTGACATATAAACGTCCTTATGCAAAATACTGAATACAAGAGAAATTACTTTTATGACCGTTTGCAAAAATAACGATAATGCAAGCAATCAAAACACCTGACTCCACATATTTGAAGAAGATGTATCATTCAGTCATTATACATATTGATTAATTGATATGCCTGATGTGAAATCAAATCAATAAGCAATAAAAAATTTTATTACTTCACAGCCCTAATATCATTACAGAAGGAAATCTATTTAAAAAAATAAATCAGGCACGATGTTCTGAACAAAGAATTTCCAATCATAATAGGATTACATCAAGATTGTTATTGAGTCCACATCTTATTATATTTGGCTACGAATATGCTTATAAAAGATTTTCATAGAATGTTTCTTTGGTGTATGATTTTCATGTATGATAAAATTCTAAATTGTGATAAATCAATCAAAGTTATTGGTGAGATAAAACATGCAGAGATTGAGAATAGAATATGCAATTTTAGCAGTAGAGATACGACAATCATCAATAATAATAGAAAATAATGTGCTTCATACATGTGATAGGTTCAGTTATATTGGAGCTATTATACAATATTATGGGAAATAAAACGGCAATCAGGCCAATCATGTATGGATCCAATGCTGGAAAATAAAAAACTCATTGATTAAGTGTGATTAAATAAAAATGTTTAGATAAATGTGTGAAAAAACTCAAAAAATAAATTAATCAATGATTATATTAGAAGGTAACTTCCAGTGGCATCAAATATTTCAAAGTACAAAGTGCAATGCAATACCTGGTTCAAAGTAAAATGCAAAGCCCAAACAGAGTGGTGTTGATT